AAAAAAAAAAAAAAATGTATTAAATTCTGAAAAAAAAAAAGATTTTTTTTTTTAATTTCAAACACATTTAACAAAAATATTGCATTATTACTTATATTTAAAATGATATTTTATATAATTTATCATCTTACTATAATAATATTTCTAATTAATTTGTAAATAAATTTTTATATTGATATAAAAATTTATTAAAATTTCAGTTATTATTCATAGATATTTTAATTTTTATAGCAACTACTTATGTATTTTATGTATACAATATGAATGTCAAATCAAAATTCATCAAAAAGATGATTAATTTAATATATAGTATATGAAAAAATTGTAATAGATTATAAATTAAGATATATTTATAATTGAAATTAGTCAAGTGTTTTATAATTATAAAAATTCTAATAGGTGTGATAAAAGTCAAGATATATAAGAAATACTTCAAAGCACCAAAAGTTACACAAGGGGTTACAAATCATCAGAATTCAACACATATGATTACGAAGCATAAGAACACATAGGCTTACAGATGACAAGAAGTTAATATATAGACTAGAAAAACTCTCGCGAGGGCTATCAACCTATTATTACAACGCATTTTTTTTATTATTCATCACTCACATATTTTTCGTTTTTAATCTTTTACAATCAATATTCCATTTTTTATATCACATTAGTTTTAACATTACATTAACCTCATACCCGCTCATATATTCAAAATAAAATCTAAGTTTCGCTCAATCATTTTTTTTTTTTTTTTTTCTAATTTTAACCCACTTTATCCAATAAATCAAATTCAATCCATAGAATATTTTATATTTTTTTTCGAATTTATAAATCCTGAAGGATTTCACCTGATACTTTTAAAAGTCCCAAAATATTCATTTGAGATATGAAAAATTACTACGTGTTGAATTTATTTATCACTTGAATTTGTTTGATTTCTTAAATAAAATTCACTAGATTTCAAACTTCAATGACAAAAATCATGTACAAAATACCAGGATTCCATGTAAAACTAAATCTCAAAAATTATTGAATTTTAAAAAATAATAATAATAATAATAATAATAATAATAATAATAATAATAATAATAATAATAATATGTCACCCAAAAATCCCAAACCAATACATCTTCCTTCATTTGTAACAGCCAAGCTCCAGGCTATGCCAATTATGTCAAGACAAAAAATTTAAACTTTTGAGGGTGATTAATCTGTTTGAACTTAATAATCTACCTATACTCAAGAATCTGGAAACTATTGCTCAAGGATTGAGGAAAATCCCTTGAGCAAATTCTACACTATGTCGAGTGAACGCATAGACGCGACCAAGTACCCGTGCCCTGCACTGCAATCGGGTTCAACCCGAGACAGACAAAATGTATACAAATCAGGTATTCGTATGCAGTACTCCAGAGTGTCGATGACAATTATCCAAACAGAACTCATCCCGAACAAGATAAAAATACGATACAGCTTGAAAGGATCTCGATTTCAAAGACTTGGTATTACCATGTGAAAAGAAACATCATAATACAAAAACCAAGGATTGCAATGACAAGAGAACTAAGACATCCTTGTACAGCAGCAAGCGTACTAATGTTTATTGCCTGAAAGCGCACTCTAAATGTCTCAAACACGTCGACTAACATATATGCCGCCTCAGGCATAGGATTTTGGGCTCCGATGATGGCATCACGTCAGAACTAGTCAGAATATTGATAAACAACCGACGAGTTTTTCGTTTTTCGTTTTTTTTTTTTTTTTCCAAATGTTCCTCATCTAAGGCGAAGATTTTTCTTCATCCAAAGGTGGGCATTGCTCGGGAACAGAATCGGAGTCGATGAAGAATTCCTCCACTGAAAATGAAGCCAGCCGCACATTAACTCATCACAATTAGCGGCAGTATATCTATAAAAAAAATAAGAATATATTGGTATAATTGTATTTATTTAGAATAGTATGGTTTTCCCGCCAAAAAAGTACTGATTACTAATTATTGAAAGTTTATTTCAAAAAAAAAAAAGTTATTGAAAGTTGTTTCTTTTTACTTTTTTTTTTCTATTTTCTTTTGGTAATTTTCTATTTACCATCGGATGTGACACTTATATTTTTATTTTAAGTATTTTGATAACAATAATTTATCTAAATAATATATTGACTAAACATTTCAAAAATGCCCAATATCAAATATTTTATATTTATCTAATCTATTTTTATTTTTTATATCAATAATTTGACATAATTTTTTTTGAATATTTGCAGTCAATAATTTCATTTCTATTTAATCTAAACTTTATTTAGTTTGGAAAATATAAAACTAAGGGATAGGATTATAGATTAATCATTCCAAAAATTATTTGTATGTTAGAAAAAAAATAAGAAATTTAAATATTTTCAACAATTCCTAAATGAGAAAATTTCGTAAATATAATTTTTTGTTCCTATTTAGATTTCATATCATTGTCCTTTTTTTTTCCTTTTTCATTTTTCTTATTAAGAATTAATGTCATTTTCTTTTAAATAAATTAATAACATTTTTATTTTCTATTCATTTTTTATATAAAATATTAAATTTACTTTCATTTTAAGATTTTTGATTTGACACTCATATTGTATGTATAAAAATAATTATTTCTAAAGTAGTTTATTAGTTAATATAACATATATAAAGTTAACTTAAATATGTTGTTTAAAAATAAATTAAAACTAAGAAATTAATTTCAAGTTACTCATACAATAAAATGTAAATACATATGTTAAATTATATTTTTATAAAATAATTTGAAATAGTAATTAACGGGTCTTTTGCCGAACAACCATTTAAATTATTAGATTTTAAAGAACTAAGATATTTACAATATATATTATTATAAATTATGATAAACCAACGAGTCATTTTCCAAATTGTCATGTAATTTATAAGTTTAGAAAGAAGAATTAAAATATTTCTAATATAAAAAGTTATCCGAAAAATGTATCTAGCCCTTACCTATATCCTCCTGCTCTGGAGAATCGAGTAAAATATCCGAGTCAGAAGGCAAAAATGGAGAACCGGGGTAGTTTCCAAGAGCTCCTAAATCTGTAAAAAATGTTCAAGCAATAAAGATTAAAACATTTGAAGGTGTCAAGTTAGTGAGCACAAAATCACCTAAAATGTAATGGAGAACCAAAAACCGCCGTTCTAGAAGAGAATTGAGCATTTGTTCACAACACAAATCAAGCCATATTTTGTAACTATTTGATCCTAGCAAGATGAATGATAAACTCACATCTTACGTTAGATCATAGGAATACGTCGTTTACAAATTCAGCACGTACTTTTGCAAGTATGAAGAAGTGTGTTAAAAGCATAGTAACTTTCGCAGACATATTCCAATTTTGTTAAGCTGTCCGCTCACACACCTTCATGCAACATTTAGTGACAATTGTAAAATATTTTTTCCTGAAATTTTCGCCTAATTGACAAGCAAAGAAAAAGAATTTCAAAATCAGATTTACCTCCTTTACATATAGCTTGTATTTTACAAATTGCATTTACCAAAAGGCATATTCTATACACAAACACAAGTGATCTTTTTGCAGCTATGCTAAATCCAGGGCTCGGTTCGTATTTATCCGTAGAATTTATGACCTAAACACACAGCATTTTCACAAGAAATTAACGGTAAAATTAAACTTACCTCCCAAGTACGATAAATCGGCTGTTAGATCCGAGAGGCAAAAATTCAACGGAACAAAATTCCACGGGATATCATCAAACGACCTCAGTGAATCTCTTGGAATATTCCCTGTCCCATTATCTGTCGTAAGCTGTAGGCCCACAGAACTTGCCACATCAGACGTAAAAGTCGTGTCGAGTGCCGAATTTTCGACTCCAATGCCCGAAATTTCTGGTGCAATGAAAGGAAGGTGGCCACTTGAAGCCACTGATGAGGGGCTCACAGGCATATCCGAAATTGTTCCGTTTGGAGGCATAACAGGCGACACATCAGCAGCAGTGCTGGTTTCAATTGCTATGCTGCAGAGAAAAAATAATAATAAATAAATTACTATCCCAAAAAAAAGAAATGGACTTAAAACATAGGATAGAGTATCATCTTTAGGACTTATGTTAGATGTTACATATTTTTTTTTTACCCATTGCCCGAATCCATTTGCGAAGGAAGAAAATTGCTTGGAGCAGGAAAGCCATCGACAATGTGAGAGTAAGCCATGGCATTAATATGAGTTGGCATTGGAATTTGGGGCTGCTGAGCCACCGGGTATCCAATAGGTAAGTTATTATTATTAACTGCACTGCAAACGAGGAGCATTGAATAAATGATGATAAAAATATAAAATCTAAAGGAGTATGCATGCATCTTCATGTTATCAATCATAATCACTGAAAGGCGAAAACTTTTTTCACATCGCAACTTCAGAAGATTTTAAACTTTAAAGATCTGTTACCGGGCATTGGATACTTCATCACACGATACTGATGGTCGAGCAAGTGATTGAATAAGATAATTTGTTTGTTCAATTTAAGCCTTATGTAATAGGCCCGGAAAAACTCTGCATTTTCTTCTTCTAACTTCTGCCACACTGCATTTAGAACAAAAGGAAAATGCATGCAACATCTCATGAAATTTGAAAGAAAGTTGCATTACAATATCAATATGATTGTTTGGTTTTATACTTATGTTTTAGTTTGATCTTTTATTCATCGTGACTCAAAATTACCTACCCAATGTAGTGAATGCAGGATCAATCCTCGCGCGATTAAGTAGAGTCTTTACCACCTCATCTCGATTCATATACAATTGCAGACACCGTTCGATTAAATTCTGAACCTGTATAGCAGCATAAATTTCTTTTCAGGTAAAAATCAAAAAAAAAAGAAAAAAAAAAAAGAAGAGAAAATCAACTAGAACAAAGAGATTCCCACAAGTTCGATATCCTCACGCGAAACTTTCCGGTTGTTGTTGCTTGAATTAGAAACAGAACCCGAGTCCTGTACAGGAGTCTCTGACGCAATATTTGGTTGTACGTTGAGTGAATCATGTGGAACAATATTGTTATTATTAGGCTTCACATCCTGTGTGCTTTCTTGGTCCTGTAAAAACCTTGGTTAGCACTAAAACCAACAATACAATATTAAAAGAACTACTATTGTATTATAAGAAAACTGAGAAAGTAAATGTAAAATGTTTTAGCTGGACCTTTTTCATGTCTTCCATTTCAACTCAAAGAATGTTCACAGCCGTTCTCTACGAACCCACGATAGACTGAAGCACTTCACAACCTGAGAAATATAGTTTTTCAGGATGCTTAAAAGTAATTAAAGGGAGTTTAACTACAAAAACTGCCCTGTGTATTGCCGGTTATATACAAATAACAATTGCAAAACCACTGAAAGTGTTGTTACACACTTTAAGGGGGGTATTCGGGACTTTGAAAGATGATTCAGCTTATCACTAACTTTCACCGAAGATGAGCAGGCCACTTACCGCAATGAAATAATTCACGTCTACTGAAATGAAGATGTTACGACTGAACGAGACCATGTAAACCGTAATCTGCCGAAATGTGATGCGTATTGATCAGAAAATGGAGAGAGATAAATAATCGACAAGTGATTTCTCTCTTAAACACAGGAATTGTTCCTATGCACCATCTTATTCAAAGATTCTTGTTTTCCTAGTTAAATATCATGTGGAACATAACCAGAATTGTGCAGAAACACATGTATTAGAGTTCAGACACCAAAAAAGATGTTTACTTTTGCATCACACACAGACTATGCTACAGGCAAATTTCCACTATCCAAACATTATCATCCTCAATAAACAATACAATCATAGAAAACCCAAGATTTGTACTTCAAACAAAAATCCACACAACTTCACTATAACTCCAAGCCATTGATTTCTCAACAACAACAACAACAAAAAGGGAAAAAAAAATGGGGAAAAAAAAGAAAAAAAAAAACACAACCCTTTCTTGAGTCATTTGTACCCAATTTACTGAGACCCAGTTTTAATAGCCATTCTGGACAAGTAACACAGACAACCTATTTAGGAAACTACATTAAATACACCCCATATGCATAATTTTTTTTTTAAATAAAATAAAATAAAATAAAAAGTAGTACCTTTTTAAAACAGCTTCCCAGCTTCAAATGTCAAAGCTTTAAGCCATTATATGACAAATTATGCAATCCCAGATGACCAGAGAAGCAAAACCCACCAACAAAACTTGCTGGGCCAAACTAAAAAGCTTTGGAGATTATTACAAAGGTTGAAATTTGAATATGTGAAAATAATTATAATTGTAAGAGTTCAAAAATTGCTCTCCTTTCAAGAATCTTGCTAAGGTTGCAGGAAGCATGAATATCTGTGTAGATTAATAATAATGCAGATGAAATGTTGGCATAAAAAATTAAATCTTTTGGGGAGAAAAATGAGATTTTTGAAAAGCTGTGGTTAGAAATGTTATTTAACCGGAGGGGCCCAACAACACTCAAGATATACCACGTTCGGGTAAAAGTTAAAACTATCAATGGTATGACATGGCCAGGGTCTGGGCCCAGCCCGGTCGGGCCCGCTGGGTCGGCTGGCCTCAATTGTTGGGCCCGTAACCGGCCCGGCAATTCATATGGGTCGGTTCATTTGAACCGGTCTGGCCGGCGGTTCGTTGAACAGCCAGGTTTTAAAAAAAATTAAAAAATAAAAAAAACAATTATGACCTGTCGGAAAAATTGGAACTGGCCCGGCCCGACGGGTAAAAAATAGATAAAAAACGGCCCTTAACTGATCCTTAAGAAATTCTGGGTAGATTCGTAACCAGGCTTATACGGGCAGTGTCGGGCCGGGTCGGGTTGGCCCGTGGCCACCTCTAATCCATGGACCTTCAGCGTGCAAGCTGTAGAAGAAATTGTAACTACAAAAATTCTATGGAGTCATCGGAGTGGTTTTCTTATGGAGCCATCTATCAATTATTGGCACATGTCCAAAGTGTATTTATTGTAGGACATCTATCAATACACTATTTGTGAATAACTATGGATTGCTCCATAAGCCGAGTCATCTGATGGATTTGTAGCAAAACTGATTGTAACTAAATATCATAAATTTGAAGTTTTGAAATCCTCCTATATATTAATTCAGAACGTGCTGAACTCAAGGCTATGTTTGGTAAAACTAGCTGATAAGCTAGCTTATAGCTTATTTGTAATTTTCGAGCTTATAGCTTATAGCTTATGACTTATAGCTGAAAAACTAGCTTATATGATAAAAGTGTTTGGTAAATTAGCTGATAAGCTAGCTGGAATAAAAAAATCAACTAGCTTATTTGAAAAACTACCTAAACAAGCTTATAAGATAAGCTCGAGTTTTTTAAAAAAACTCGTCCTACCAAACGGGGCTTATTTGAATACAGGAAGCTTATAAGCTAACTAAATAAGCTATAAGCTAGCTTATTTGGTTTACCAAACATAGCCTAAGTGGCAGCCTATTTGGTTTGGATAAATTTTAATTTACTTTTAATCCAAAAATAATTAGATTCGGATTACCATAAATATGTTGATTTATTTATGTTCATTTTAGATGTATTAATTATATTTTAATATCATTTCTTATTATAACTATATTGAATTGTAAATTTATTTTAAAATTTGATAATTTTTGTATTTCTTATCAGTTTTACATATATAATATATCAAATTAACCATTTTTTATGAGCTTTGATTTGACATCCATATTGTATATATAAAATATATATATAATATTTATCTTTATAATAATAATAAAAATATTCATTAAAATTAATTAGAAAAATAAAATTGTTTCTCAATTAATATATTGATGTTTACTGTAGTTATATGCTATAAGTTAGAAAAATTATTATAATATAACACATGTATGTCGCACAAGTAACAAGTGACATACTAAAATATATAATAATATATATATCTTTATAAGAAGTATTTAATTTTCAACAATTCTCATTAATTTTAAATTGTAAGAAAAAAATTTAACAAGTACCCGTGTAATACACGGGCGTTGTACTAGCATTGTATATATTTCACAATCAACAATTTTGAAATAAAATCTAGAATTAATGAAAGTTAATTGGGCAATTGAGTATAAAATTAAATATTATTTTTATTTTACCGAATAAAAATTCCACTCAAATTGTGTTTAGATTTAAAATAGTTTCGTAAAATATATTTTTTTCTTTATATGTCATTTTCTTGTACCCAATGTCATTAAAATAATTTAAACATAAAAAAATAATTATTACAACATATATACCAATTACCACTTTTTATTCACTCTCTTACGAGTATAATTCCAATCATTACTATCAGCATTTAGTATTTTAAATTGTATCAGTTATAATAATTATATTTTTTTCATTCACAATTCAAAATCCTTTAATCATTTTTACATTTTTTTTCAATATTCTCATCCATCTGGTAATAAAGACAAAAGTTTCTTAAAGAAAAATGTTATAGGTACATAATATTGTACACAATGATCTACATAAATTCACGTTGAGTGGGACCCACCAAAAATTAAAAAAAAAAAAATAAGTGGACTCCACTCCATGTGAGTGTCACTCGTGTACACCTTTATGTATATTTATTATGTACTTACTACTTATAGCATTTTCCTTCTTAAAAATTATATTTTCAGTCCTAATATTTTTCCTAGAAGGACCACTTTATCTTGATAGTTATTGGTACCTCCATCAACTACCACATTCCAAATTTCATAGTACATTTTGATGTTAGCCTGAGATTGTTCAGTTTGCTCGATTCATTAAGGCTCGAGAATATAGATCTTTACATAGTTTTTGAATCTTTACCTTAGCTTATTTCGTTAAGGTTTGACTCAATAAAGGTTCGACCACAAGCCGATTAAACAATATGCATGGATAGTATGAAGTGCCGGAACAATAATACTTCAACAACAAACAATCAGTTCAAATATTTACAACCAAAAAGTAATGAATTCTCTTACGGATAGGCCGTGTAAGAAGAATGAAAGATAAAATGACAACAAACATCTCTTATTGAATTGCTGATTATTTATTGAGAATCCTTAATATTGTGTCTTGAATACGACTCGAGCATTCGTGCTCTTTAACACAAGATGTTCAAATTCGACTCTCCTTGATCTACTTTGGAGTTGAACCATTTACAATATGATTTGGGTCTATTAAGATTAATTTCACATAGTAGTTCCAAAAAATTGATTAAAAACTTATATGGGATATTGTATACTAGATCAGTTTGTCGGGCCAACCAGATTATAATGGGTTAACGGTCTGGTCGAGCCGGACACTTGTAACAAAGGTGAGAAGTAGAAGATAAAGACGAGCGGATTCGACAGCACCAAACAATTACCTGCTCCACCAAACTCTGGTCGAGGAAAGAGATGGTCGAATGGGCGTGGTCGTGGAGTCGACCACCTCGTACCTCAGGGACAGCTCAGCATTCACTCCAGATTTGGTCGAACATCAGAATATACAAGAGAATTTCCAACACGTGAAAGGAGGACACGCGGCGCACAACGAGTGGTCCAGGGAGATAACAATCTCTGACATTCTCTGACACGTTGTGACGCGTTTTCTGACACCAAGGTAGTGGAGGCGCGCGATCGTACGGACGAACAGGGAAGATACCAACTTGACTCGCCCAAGTCGCGCGTGGAAAACAGGTAGCTCGTTGCTATAAATAAGGACGAGAACTCTCACCTTAAAATCAATCTCTCATACTTGCATACTTTTTCCACATATTCTACTTACCTTCTCAAGAACTGACTTGAGCGTTGGAGGCTCTTCACCGGAAAATTTCTCCGGTGTGAGAGTTACGTGGAGGTTCAGCGTTCTACTGGCGAGAAAGGCGAGCTCGAGACGGTTTTCAGCCGGTCGAAGTGCTAGATTTGTATTAATAACAAAATTAGTTAGAATCATAACACCATCTATCATTTAATCTCAACCAAACATTTATTGAAGCTTTATGAAAAGAGCTACCCTTATACTAGGGTAGTGCCACACCATACATTACTTTTTTTTTTTTCCAAAACGAATAAATATATTGAACAAACTCAGACAAAGTACAAGGTAGTGTTCAACTGAACACAATTCATCCTTCTAGCACAAGCCACTAGATAGGAAAAAGACCAGAGGAAAGATAAATCTAAGCCTCCTCTAAAGCCAACATGGCTAATGA